ATGTTCCAATTTCATCATTTTGCGATAATCAAATTTAGGAAATGTTTACACAGATTTCATCTTTTATACATTTCATTTCATCTTTAAACTTCATCTAACAATGAGATGATTTGTTTTGATTTCTCTAACGATGGCCAAGTTTATTTTTCCACACCTGCTATAAGTGATATATTAGCATTTAGCAGGTTGCAATTTCTATAAAATACAAAATGAAATAAATTAACTTATATATAATAAAATAGGTAAAGTAATCTTCTCAAAGTAATCATTTACTAATAAATATTACTTGGAATTGTACCACCCCCACCACAACTTTCATTTTGTTTATATCTATGTATAAAAAAACAAAATTCTCAATGTTGCTCAATGGGCAAAATCGATAACTTTCTCATCAGAATTGCATTCTGTAGTTATCGCGTTGTTATATTTTTAATGTATTTTAAATTTGTAACTAGATTACTTTCTGCTGGGAAAATTTCAATTTGTATAAATACAATAATAGAAAATCATCTATATAATAAAATATATTTACAAACTAATGGTTGTGAATATGTTGGATATTTGCATACATGAATACATTAGTACCGAAAAAGCATCATTTTCAAAACTAGTTAGTGATTGAATTCTGTTTCGGTCTTTAAAATTTTACTTTCAATTATTTTAAATGATTATTATAAATATTTAATATGGTACTATAATTTATGTATTGATATACAAATCCACATTTCTGTAGATATTATATATTTCATATGGTATCCAATTGAAACCTATGAACTATGAACCTATTAAATCTGTGAAAATTGATAATAATAATAATCTAATCAGGATGATAATGTTCAACTGGGCTGTATTAATATGGTTTGGGGGCGCCCATTATTCACGTGTTCCTTTTTGAAGGTTTTTTGGACCCCCCTCTCCTCCTTGGTGATTTAAAATTTCTTGGTGATTTAAAAAATTTTGAAACTTTAGAAATTTTTGATTTTTTTAAGTTGAGATAAAAACCAAATTCACGTGATATCTTACTAGACCTTTCCCTCCCCCACATGATTTTTCGTGATTTTTTTGTCTTAACCTCCATCCATTTGAGCCTCACGTGATTAATTTTGCTTCATTTGCAATTATTTATTTTTTTAAACTAAAACATACATTATTCTAATTATATTTTTATTTATTATTATTACCATATTTGGCTTGCAAAATTATAAATAAAGCATATTAGCAATTTGTTTTTAGCAAATAGCGCTGCTTACATTTCAAATATAGTATTTTCTAAAGTTACATTAAAATTTCATCACTCTTACTCTTGATTTCATCACTTAATGTTCATAATCATTATTAATTTTTGTCGTACGTCCATCACATTTATTAGTAAATTACCTTTCGAAACGCTATTAATTCTTATGCTTATTATTTTAAGAATTCAATTCAGCATCAGAATTTTTATTAAATCGTTTCTTCTTATCATTGTGCAATGTCATTTTGTATCTGCTGCCGTCTTCTCAGTACACACGATAAGATTCAGCGTTTTCATAATAAAAATACCGATAGATAATTCTATAGAAAAATATGACTCCTAATTTGGTGAAACGCTGCGACACGACTTCTTATGCAAATAAATATACGTATACGAACGTTTTAATGACGCGAGTGACCAGCATTAAAAAACTATCGCTTTAAAACATTCGAATGTCATGGATAACGATATAATGGATTGGTGCTATTTTAAATTGATTGTTGGAATAAATTTGATAATTAATTCTGGAGATTAAAGATTTGATGCGTTTTTTTGTTATTTCGGAGTTATGTGCAATTGCTATATAAGTCGCAATATATTGCTAATATATTCCTTCCTTGTTTGGATTTGGCTGGTCATTATGAGCGCACACGTTTAAAAATTGGCGTATGAACTATACTTGAATGCATTATAGATTTATTATGTCAACAGTGTTGTTATTCGAAGATTTATATAATCGATGTAATTAACTGAAGACTTGATTAAAGAAAACTTGTGACAATTGCGTTTATTACTTTTTATTATAGTTCTTGTTATTGACGCTTACGGTTCCAACGTTTAAATAAAAAAATAATAATAAAAACCATCGACGACAGCCCAATAATGGTCATTATTTTGCCAATCAATAAAAATGAATAACACTGTTTGTATTCTGTACTCGACCGGGATTCGATCTGAGTACCCCTCTACTGCGAGTGCTTAACAATATATAACAACAGAACTTGACGAGATTCCATGAGCTGTAATGCTGACTTCTTTTGAAATGAAGGGGTTTTTTATGCAAACTCAAACGGTTGTCTTATCTTTATATGGTGAATTTACTGTTACAATTTCTGTAATATTTAAACCGAAAATCCCAGTTGAGCACATGGAACAAATTCTTCTGTACAAAGTCATGTTGAAATCAATTTGGACGTACGGAATAGAGCTTTGGGGAACAGCACGCAAATCCAACATCGCCACAATACAAAGATTTCAAAACAAGATTTTGAAAAAAATTATAAACGCACCCAAGTATGTCCCAAATTGATTGGTTCATACAGATTTGAACATTAACACTTTAAAGGAAGAAATTGAAAAGTTCAGTCTGAGATACAAGGATAGAATACAGAACCACCCTAACATCATGGCCAAAAACTTAATAAAAAACCATGGCATTGAACGGCTCAGAAGAAAACGGCTCCTTTTTGATATTCCTTATTAATTCTATAATATGAACAATTACTCGTAAGCTTAATTAATATTTTCACAACAGGACTACATCTATATCCAACATCGAATCGGATCACCAATGGGTGACCTATCAACCTTTTTCCTTTATTTAATAAACCATCAAAATAACTGAATGTTGTATAAGAACGACAGATTGTAATTCACAAAAAAAATCTGTAATACTAATAAATTATTAAGTACATATTTTTTAATGATTAAGCAGCATTTAGAACAGCCTAAATCAAAAAGATGCTTCTTCTTCAATCTTCTAATAGCTGATGGTTTTAATATGGGAATTAATGCAGGGTTATTGTGGTCAATAATCTTACCATCATGGATTCCATTGCTGTTTTTCACTACCTTCTGGACAGTGTCAATTCTCAGATCGTTGTGTAGTATGTGGTTGCTAATATAACCAAGGTGCATTTATAATACACATTTTTTTGTCATTTCCTTAGGATGGATGAAATTTTTGATCTACTGGCACAGCCCCACAACTCAAACGCCATAATTTCGGA